TCACCCGTGATAAAAAGAGATAATGAACATAACTCTCATTCATTTTATTCCCTCACCACAAGGCTCATTCACCTTCCTATTAAAATCGATATTACCTCTCGTCCGCTGAAACCTGAACCTCTCTTGTTCCTCCAAACATCCCAAAACCACTTCTAATGTGAAAAGCAGTTGAGCCATAAAACCGCTACTTTCTTCATCTGTCCTACTCCAAGCCAACCTACCATTCAGGACCTTGCCCGATCCAAGAACTTGATCCACCTCATGTCCATTCTATTTTGGCCGATTTCCTCTTCTACTATGAACTACATCCACTCCCAAGTTCCCACTACAATTCCTCCCTCTTATCTTCCTCCTCTCAAAACAAATAGGAACTCATTTCACCAAGGCTTTTTAAAAAACCAGACCAGACCGGCCGGTCAACCGGTTGAACCGCGAACCGGCTGCCGGGCCAGTTTCGTTCACCTGAAGAAACCGTTTTCGGCATCGGACGCTCGGACCGTCGACACCGCCGGTTCGACCGTTTGGAAACCGGAAAACCGGCTCCGATTTCTCATGACCGTTTCGCGTCGCTTTCTTGATCGAACGGGCGGCTGTGCAGCATCTTCGCCGGAGGGTAGGGGCGGATGCAGCATGAGGGCACGTGCTCTCGAGTCATAATTATCTATTTAAATCAAAATAAATTTTATTATATAATAAAATATTATTACAAGCAGTATTATTCACATCCACGATAGGAGCATACAACACATTTACTAAGCTTCTCAAAAGGTCTTTATTATATAAAGCAAATTATTTTCCTCTTTCACTGGGTGGGGGCACTAAAAGCAAAAGGCTTTTTTTTTTCTTATTGATTGGGAGGCTTAGGCGGGAACTGGGAAGGGTAGCGGGACAAGCAATTTTTTTTTCCAGGCTTAGTCAATTTTTTTTTCTTATCTAAGTTAATAATTCTAATTAATTAGTTATATTACTAAAAATAAAAAGTTAGAGATATGTCTAATGTTATACTTGTAAAATTAAAAATATTAAATTAGAAAAAATTACCTAAATTAGTAGACTTTAATGTATTTATTTTGAAAAACTTAATTGACCTATATGATTCCTTTAGATTTAAATATTGTGAATTTATTTGGCTTAACATTTCACTATATATAAGTAAAAGTATTATAATTTTTTTCAAATTTTTTGTATATATTTATAAATAATTGTGTCATATTATAATATTTAAATTATTAATAATTATTTTATTACTATCCGGTTCGACCCCGGTTCGACCCGCTTGAACCATCAAACCTTAACCTCTCCTTCTTCCGGTTCATGACCGGTCCTGGTTTAAAAGCCTTGGCTCCTTCACACTTCCAAACCCGCACACGCTCCAAGCCCTAACCCCTCAGTCTTTCGATTCTGCTTTCATTCCCCGCTCCTCTTATGTAAAATGCCCAATCAAATCCACCTTCATATCAAATCCTCATCTTCACACTCTTCCAAACTTCATGACCCTCTGACTAAACCCCCACAACCTTTCCACCACCAACCGCCATACAACCTCCATCCTAGTACATCATCAAATAGTAAATCCCTAACGTGAACACCACACACCTGAAATTACCTTGCTCTACTACTAAAAAATACTTGAATCAACATTAAGAATGATGCAGCGGCACACTCTCCATCTCTCTTCTATGTTACATTATATGTCTATCCAATATTCTAATTCTCACCTCTCAAGACT